TTACCCTCCCACAAGCTGGCGAGTATAGATCATATACTCTCAGCTTGGATAACAACAAAGCAAATCGATCAATCGACAGACTCTTGGTAAAAATATCTGCAAGTTGAAAATCTGTTGGGACATGATGTAAAGTGAGCAATCCTGAATGAACCCATTCTCTGATCACATGGCAATCCACATCAATGTGTTTTGTCCGTTCATGGAACACTGGATTTTCAGCGATGTGGATTGCTGACTGATTGTCACAATACACCTTGACAGGTTGTGAAATCTGAACACCAAAGTCATTAAGCAGTCTCACTAACCATTCAATTTCACAGCTCAAGCTGGCTAATGCTCTGTATTCAGCCTCAGACGAAGACCTTGACACAGTCTTCTGTTTCTTACTCTTCCAAGTCAGGATGCTGGGACCAATGAAAGTGCAATATCCAGTGATGGACTTTCTGGTGTCTGGACATGTAGCCCAATCAGAATCACTGTAACCTCTCAATTCCAGCTTTGCAGTTGAGGAATAAAGCAATCCTTGTCCTGGAGAAGCTTTTAAGTACCTTAAGACCCTGTGTAGAGCCCTCAGATGCAGTGAAGTGGGATTATCCTGGTACTGGCAGAGTTGCTGAACTGCAAAAGCAATATCTGGCCTTGTTGTGGTCAGATATTGTAGTTTTCCTACCAGATGTTTGTACAGACTGACATCTTCCAGAGGGCTTCCTCCAGTTGATGACAGAACTTCTTTGACAAATATAGGTGTGGCTGCAGGCTTGCAATCTTCAAAACCTGACTCCTTCAAGAGGTCCAAGCAGTACTTTCTCTGTGACACTGTGATCCCTCTGACTCCCCTAATGACTTCCAAACCCAGGAAGTATTTCAATTCTCCCAAGTCTTTCATTTTAAACTCACCCTTCAACATTCCCTTTACCTTGGTTATGGCATCTAAACAAACACTTCCAATAAGAATGTCATCCACATACACAATAAGCACAACCAGTGCACCAAGAACCTGTGTAGTGAATATAGAGTAATCTGAAGATGTCTGCTTAAAACCATTCTTTAACAAGCTCTCAGTCAACTTAGTGTACCACTGTCTGCTTGCTTGTTTCAAACCATAAAGGGACTTCTTAAGGCGACAAACCTTACCTTTGCTATCCTCTCCTAGATCCAGACCAGGTGGGATTGTCATGTAAACCTCTTCTGTTAATTCACCATTCAAGAATGCATTGCTAACGTCCATCTGGTGTAAATGCCAGTTCTGGACAGCTGCAACTGCAAGCAAAGTCTTCACAGAACTTAACTTAGCTACTGGTGAAAATGTATCACAGTAGTCTATGCCATAGATTTGGGTGAAACCCTTTGCAACAATCCTTGCTTTGTGCCTCTCAATTGTCCCATCTGAAAACAGCTTCAATTTGTAAACCTACTTATTGCCAATGGCCTTTTTCCCAACTGGTAAATCTGTGATTTCCCAAGTTCCATTATCAATCTGTGCCTTCAACTCTTCTTGCATTGCCTTATTCCAGTTAGGATCAAGGGCAGCTTCTTGATAAGAAGTTGGTTCTAAGTGAGATGTAAGGCTATTGATGAAGTGTTGATGTCTAGGCAATAAATGTGTATAGGATAAAGCTTTATGTATGGGATACTGGATGTGATAATCTCCATGCCAGTTAGGTGGTCTAATGGTTCTGGTTGACTTCCTTAACTGGACATGAGATGGTGATGGCTGGGGAGAAGCACTGGGATGATGAATTGCAGAAAAAGGAGAAGAGGAAGAAGAATGACTATCCTGAGGATCAGCAGGAGGATCAGCAGGAGGAATGGGAGAAGAAGGAGTGGGAGTAGGGATGCCCCCCTCAGACTGATGGTCATCAGAGACAGTGACCTCATCAGTGGTAGGAGAGGGAGGAGAAGGGAAGTGTGGTAGTGGAGTAGTGACAGAAGGAAAGAAGGTTTGTGAGGAGGGGAGATCAGAGTCAGTAGGAATAGTGGAAGTTGATGTAGAAGAGGAAAAAGGTAAGATATGTTCATGGAATTCTACATCCCTAGAACAAAAGACCCTGTGAGTGTCTAAGTCAAGGAGCTTAAAACCTTTGATCCCAACTGGAATGCCAAGGAATACACATTGTTTAGCTCTAGGGAAAAACTTTGTCCTGTGAGGACCAGCTGTGGATGCATAAACCAAACATCCAAACACTCTGAGGGAACTGTAATCAGGTGGAACCCCATACAACTTCTCATAGGGGCTGATATTGTTCAAGACAGGAGTAGGGATCCTGTTAATCAAGTAGGCAACATGCATAATAAACTCACTCCAGTAAGTGAGGGGGAGGCCAGATTGGAATTTGAGTGCCCTGGCAACATTTAAGAGGTGTTGGTGCTTCCTCTCTACCCTCCCATTCTGCTGAGGTGTGTAAACCACACTCATCTGGTGTTCAATTCCATGTGCAGAATAGAAATCATGCATATGGAATTCCTGGCCCTGATCAGTTCTAATGATTTGCACTGATTTTTGAAACTGATTTTGGACCATCAACCAGAAAGACTTGAGTAAACCTCTAACTTCATCCTTAGACTTCATTAAATAGGTCCACACACATCTACTTTGATCATCAACAATTGTTAAGAATTAATGAAATCTATTGTAGGAAGGGGTGTTTAAAGGGCCCCAAATGTCAACATGTAACAAACCAAACAAGGAAGGATGAACAGAGGTACTAATGGGAAAAGGAGACCTCTTCTGTTTGGCCAAATGACAAACATTACAATGGAAAATCTTAGAAGCAAGTACATCAGGAAATTGTTTGTGTATAGTCTCTACTCTGGACACATATGGATGGCCTAATCTGGCATGCCAGATATCAAAACTTTGTGGCTGGAAGTTGAGATGTGAAGTAGCAAAACAGTTGGGAGATAGAGTGTTTGTGTCTGGATGAGTGAACTTGGAGTCATTGAACAAGTAGAGACCTCTATCCACTTGGGCTAAACCAATCCTCCTCTGTGTAATAAGGTCCTGGATAACACAGAAAGAGGATTTGAAAAGAAGTGAGACTGGATTGTTTTTGGTCAGTTTGCTAACTGAAACTAGATTGTAATTGAAGCTAGGAATGTAAAGGACTTGAGAAAGAAACAGTCCACAGGGCAACTTAACAACTCCTATGTGTGTGGCCTCTACCTTATTGCCATTAGGCAGATTGACAAAGACTCCTGTCAGAGGTCTATGCTTAAGGAAAAACCTCAAATGACACACTATATGGTCTGTTGCTCCTGTGTCCAGAACCCATAATGGTTCATTAGACTTTGTCAAGAGGGTTGAGAGTATTGTAATACCTGAACTGGAAGGGAGATAAACTTGTTGGTACTGAGTGGCACCAGAACTTGAAGGCTGTTGTGGAGCTTTTGCTGTCTGGTTATGAGTAGCAATCACAGCATTAGCTGAGTGTCGAATGGAGGGTGAAGTAGGTGGAGATGGTGAGGAAGGTGGTGTGGGAAACATGAGCAGCCTTAGCTTCTCCATCTGATCAGTGGTCAGTTGCAGGCTTGCCAAGCTTGGGGCAGCTTCTTGTCTTGGTGGAACAGGAGAGGTATGCATTCCTGCACTCTCACTGTTAACATTAGATTCAACTGATCCTGCAAAGTTCACACCACCAGCCTCCCTAGCATTCTTGTTCTTAAGCTTGATGCACTCATACACAGTGTGAAACTCCTTCTTACAGTACCTACAATACTTCTTCCCATCTTTGTAATCCCTAGAAGTAGCTTGTGGATGTTGCTGTCCTGATGCAGCTGCCAGAGCAACAGACTCAACACCAGCCTGCTTGTTCACACCTTTCATTTGACGTTCTAGCTGAAGTATTTGCTTGAACACAACGTCAATGGAAGGCAAGATAGGGTTCATCAGAACCTGAGTATGAGCTGACTGGTAAATGGGATTCAACCCTTGCATAAACTTAATCACAAAGTCATTGTCCTGGTATCTCTTTAGGGTTTCATATGGTCCATTGCAAGGGCAGACTGGAATGGGTCTGTACTTCTTAAGCTCTTCCCACAAAACAGTGACATTAGTAAAGTATTGATTCACAGATTGGTCCTCCTGATGGCACTTAGCAAGCTGGGTTTGCAAATAAAAAACCCTAATATTGTCTTCCTGACTGAATCTGATCCTTAGATTATCCCATACAGCTTTTGCACTCTCTAACCTCATGACACTATTAGCGATGTCTTCAGCAAGGGAATTGTAAATCCAGCAACGGATGGTCCCATTACAACGCAACCAAGACTGATAGATTGGATCTGTTACCTCTGGCTGTGGAATGGTTCCATCAACAAAACCCAGTTTGTTTTTGGTACCCAGTGCAACCAACATCACTTGGCTCCATGTGTGGTAGTTGCCGTCGACGAGCTTGACTGAGATGATGGTGGAGAGTGCTCCATCCTGCGGCGGCAGGTAGTATGGGTTCAGGTAAGGATCTTCATAGGCAACGAGCTTGCCTGATCCAGCTTTGGATGGATCTTCTCTGTTTAGATCGGATTCAGACGTTTCACCAGACATTTTTCAGACAAAAGAAGGAGATGGAGATGTTGAAGAAATGGAAAGACTAAGGTACGAAACCCTAGCGAAAATGTGAGCAACCAGGCTCTGATACCATAAGAAGAAATGGACAGATCTGGGGGAATCGCTCATTGAGCCTTTCCATTGAATGAAGTTTCAAATATATACAGAGTTCCTAATCCACTGTACACTAACGGCTAATTACAACTAACAACTAATCTATCCAATTGCAGGGAAGCACGTGTAGCTGTACAGTAAAACTGGAAATTAGAACCTAACGACTAAGTGAAACGCAGCACTCCATCTATACGCTGCCGTTTGGCTCTGCTTCTCCTTTCTTCTTCTTCTTCGTGTCTAGCTGGACTGAAGCAGAGCCTCCTCCTGTCAATGCTGCAGCACAGCTTGATTGATCCATCTCAATCTCCTTCCTTGTTACCCCCTTCCCCGAATGAAATCTCCATCAGGCTGGCGATGACTGGCGCCGACGGCGAGATGCGCCTGCGGGGACGAGTAGTGGGATGATCGGCGATATTTTGGATCCCCCTTCCCCGAATGAAATCTCCATCAGGTTGGCTTTGTAGCTGTTTGTGTCGTCGTGGGTAGGTGGGATCTTGGTGTGGTTTTGCAGCAATTGCAATCCCTTGTATTTGGAGGAAGGAGAGTCGATTTCCCATGTGGGGACTTCTTCGCCGGAGATGGGTGGGCTCGCCAGAATATGGATTTGCTGTTCTGCATTCATTTTTTTTAATCTCCTTTCCTCCTGTGAGCGTTGGACGAAGGGTAGAAGAAGGAATCATAAATTGGGATTATTTATGATTATTATTATTTAAAAAATAAAATGAATGCTGAAATTCAAAAAATAATTTTTTTTTATTTCGTGCTCGCTTATGTGGCAAGTGAGCTGGCCATTGACTAACGGTCAACGGAGTTCACCGTTCAATTTGACGGTCAAATCCAGGTCTGGCCAAGTTAGGAAGTATGAAACATAGTTCAGGTCAGAATAGTAATTTCAAAAATCATAGGCCAAAGTAGAAAGTTTGTGTATAGTTCGGGCCAAACTAAGATATTAACTCATATAATTACTCCATATTGTTTGGACCAAGGTGGTGCAAATGACCCATCTTTAGCCACATGTGGAACCACCACTGCCTAAGGCTAGTAGTCATTTCGATGACGTATTTCAATGAGGAAATTTAGCACATCCTTCATTTTAGAAAAATCCAATCCAAACAGCTCCTAAAGAATCAACCATGAAGGAAAATAATAAATTTACCAAAGACGGATACAATTATGATCACCTCCACTCTATGCATACACGGATGTTCAGAAAAGAAAACAGAAAATATTAAGTGTACGGATAATGCCAAATCAAACTCATCCAAAATTACTATTGAATGAACGGAAATAATGTACGTGTCGGGCCGAATAGATCAGCTCGTTTGTAAATTATGTTTGGATATCGCCGGTAATATAATTAAACAATAGGGGGATAATAAGATAATCGCCAACTCCACAAGAAAGATATGGACTGACAGTCGGTTTCATTCGTTTGCTGAGGTTTTGGGATATTCACCTGATACAGCTTCATTGTTCGCCAGGACGGCAAATATCCAACATTATCAGCGATAATTAGACATGGCAACTTTGCACATACCTATGGGTTTCTTATTATCCAACTCAATTGGGTTGGGTATGAAATCCAAATAGATGGATATGGGTAGAGTTTGATGGGTTTGTACCCATACCCATTTACTTTGGGTTGAGTTGGGTTTATATCAAATGGATTTGAGTTTGTACCCATGCCCAAATACAAATTACAATTTGGTACCCAAACTTAATAGACATGCATATTTACTACCTAAATTTAATTTTTTTGTATATAAGTCTTCAAAATATCGATGGAAATTACGTTTTGGTACCTAAATTTTTTTGGTCTTACATTTTGGTACCTAAACTTTTCAAGTTTTACAAATAGGTCCAATTTTTGCATGTGTAGTTAAAACACCCTCAAGTAAATGGATATCCATATCCAACCCATACCCATTTAGATTATGGAAGCAATATTCATACCTTACCCAAACCCATCTATAAACCCCCAAATCCATATGCACTTCACCCATACCCAACCCATTATCAATGGGTCTACTTGGGTTTGGGTATAATTACCAATGGGTGGGTAATTTGCCATCTCTAGCGATAACAGATTCTTTATAAATCGAGAGAGAGAGAGAGCAAAAAGGAGAAATAAAGTAAAATAAGAGAGACATGGAGCGAGCCACATCAGCGGCGGGTGCATTCTTCTTCTTCTTCTTCATCATCGTCATCATGATGTTCACATTCCCGACGACGGCCAGCGTCGTCCAAGGCTACGGCGCCAGCCCCAAATACTGCAGAGGTGACGTGGTGACCGAGTACGACGTGGCAACCTACTCAGCCTACGTGGCTCACGTGCTGTCCGAGCTGGCTACGGTAACGCCCACCGTATCAGGCTTCCAGTACGGGACGGTGTTCCCCAACGACAACCCTGGTTCCGTCCAGGGCACGGCGTTGTGTGACGGCACGAGAGACGCCAGCCGTTGCGCAACCTGCCTCTCCGGTCTCCAAAAGTTGCTTTACGATTCCTGCAGCAGCTACGAGGGCGCCGGTGCCAAAGGCGGCATCATTTGTGGCATGGGTTTCGACATAGTGGCCTGACCGCCTGAGCCATGCAACTCCGAGCCGGGCCGATCCAATCTATCTAATCTGCCACGTACTTTGTCTAATTTTTTTTTTTTTCAATCCGAGAAGACTAATGGAAAGTACGTACGTAACTACGTATCTATATTAGCCTGGCCAGCTAATAATTAATTATCCGAAAACCGTTATTAATGATGTCAAAACAAAAGCGTGCAATCGACAATCAAGATCAACACAAGCGAACATAAATTTAACGTGGTTTATTAACACAATGTGTGCTAGCTAATCCACGGCAGGGGAGAACAAATTTCACTAATTTGAGGAGAGTACAGGTTACAAACTAAATTCCAAATGGACAAACCAAACAAATTAACCTGACTAACCTTTACTACAAACTATGGTGATGAAGAGTATTTATAGAACTCTTCTCCTAATCCCAAACAGAAAACCAAATACCTTTTTCCCAAACATACAAGGAAAATGTCAAACAAAGCCCAAACACAAACCCAAACAGAATAGGCCTAAAACACAAAACAAACCCAAATCAAATTCAAGTCATATTCTAACAAATGAGATGAATGAGCTTAATACATGAATCAAGACATTCATTTTCTTTCCGTGATGATTAGCTCCTTGGCCAGTTTTCTTTTGAAGTCGTTAAACTTTCATCCAAATCGTACTTATTGATCAAATTGTGTTCTTTTCTTTGGAGGCTGTCCGCATGTTTCACATTTATCAATCTTGTGCTATGTCAATCAATTTGATTCATTATCGATCTCAATGCAAAATTTAAAATACGAGATTGAGAGAGTATGTGAATGAAAAATAACAATAACTGCACAGTCAAATCTAAAATTCTTAAATATAACGAAGGAAAACAAAAATAATTCCGTAAATTTGTGTTTGACAACATCCAACAATCTTCATATGCAACATGCTCCAATACCTACCTCTTTTTGTGTATGGGTAATTGGGTACCTAGAAGTCACAGTACCTCATTCCGGCCTTCTGATTTCTGTTATACTCTGATCTGCATTGCAAGTTTGCAACATAAAGTAATTGTTCAGGATCGAACTGTTTTTTATGATAAAGTAGACCACGAGTTTATTAAAGCATGCCAGTTGACCACAGATTTCTCAAAGCATATCACAAGTTTTCTGAACCATATCAGAAACCTGATAAGACATACCACAAGTTTATTAAAAGGCAAAATACACATGTGAAGCAAAAACTTTGACGGATTGGCCAAATATAGCCACTTTTGGCGAAATACCAAATATAGACACTTTCGTCCAATTCTTTGACTGTGTTAGTTAACGTGCTGACTCGACTAACACAATAGCTGATGTGGCGACATTAGTTAACAACATTGCCACATGAATTTAATTGGAAGAAAAAAGAAAAAAATAGATACTTGAAAAAAACAAAAAAGTAGATAAAACAATAAATAATTTCTCTCTCCCACCTATCTTCTCCTTCTAGAATGGCACAATTATAGTCTAACCAAATCTCCCTCGCATCCACTCTTCCCCGATTCGACAGACAGCAAGGAAAGAGCAAGGGTCGTCTTCAAGCATTGCCTTTTACACTATGCGCAACTCGGTGTTGCCAGTCACTAGCGTCCCTCCTTTATCGACGTTACGTTGCTATTGCACTGCTCTGATTGAGATGAACCTCCACGGACGCGGCGAATTTCAAGTGGAGCTCATCGTTGCGGGGATGATCTCCGTTGGTGGAGGAGGAATTAGGGATTTGCGGAATCAAAAGTGGCGAAATACTGCGGGAGGAAGGATTAGGGATTTGCGGTAGAGGAGGAATTGGGTGAGGTTTCCCATCGTTGTTGCCCTCTTGATGCTGTCAATTTCCGTCAGGGAAGATGACCTGATCAACTGATTCCCTCTCCAAACCTGACCATGGCGGCGGAACTACCATCTTTTCTCCTTCACCGGCGTTGTTGTTGTCAAAGTCGACAAGTCAGAGTCATCGTATGCCTTTCTGCATCGCCGTCGTAGGTTAAAGCACAATTGGAGGAGTGTGATCAATACTCATAGAAATGCCCATGACTTGTGAAGTCTGGTCGTGACTTGTGATCTCTTGCTTCCTTTGACCTGATTTTGCGTCAAATGTCCCATAAATCGTTCATATTCCATAATTACATACTAAGATCTTAAATATAAAAAAAGGAACACAACCTGGCATAAAATGGGCCAATGAACGTCTCTAACCAAGCTAAACGATCAAGAAACATGTATAATTATGTCGGTTGTTGAGAAGGAATCCTTGTCCGATGAGGATTAGGAAACACTCCAGGTTTAAATCGAGTCTGCTGAGAATAAGCAATACTGCGTCGTTTGCAGAAATGTTGAGTCAGTCCTTTATTTGTGCTTTGTTACAATTGAGTCCAGTCAGTAGTGGTTAGGTTGAGAAACTTCAGCTGATTAGTTTGTTAGTTGCAACGTGATTAGCTTGATTCTTGGTTAGTGGAACGTTGGTAGCAGCCAAGGATTGTGGCCCTGCACCAATATCTATATATTCTTTGCTTTCCAATCAATAAAACCTCGTCAGATTGCAATACATAGTGTTCTACATCGGTACCAGTAGGTAGGGCTGGCAACCGGTCGGTTTCGGTTTAACCGAAAATCGATTTCTCGATTTTTGGTTAAACTGAGACCTGACCAATACCCACCGTCGACCGACCGCCCCAGCATCCACGATTAGCCGCAAACCGACCGGGCGGTTTTTGGTTTAGGTTCGATTTACATGCATAACAGACCGGAGGTTAGGCCACCACCGTTCAAATCAGCGTAACAAGTACGCCGCTTGCAAAAATCCCCAAACCAAGACCTTCACCTCCTTCCACTCCCCGCTCGCAAAAATCCCCAAAACATAACCAACCATATCTGCATCGTGTTGGGATTTGGGAGGAGGAGCTGCTGCTGCCTGCTTGTGTTGGGGCGACGAGTTGCGGCTGTTAGGGAATGGCCGAATGGGTCTCTGTTGACTGTTAGGGATTGGGATGATGAGGGAATTTGGGAATTGGGAGGGAGGAGGAGAGGGATTTGGGAATTTGGGAGTTGGATGGGTCTCTGACTCTCTGTTAGTGGATTTGGGAATTGGGAGGAGGAGATGAGTCTGCGAGGGCCGAGGAAGGGGAAGGTGGAGGCGGCGGGGCGTCGCGGTGGAGCCGGCGAGGTGGGGGCCTGGAGGGGGAAGGGATGGTGGAGGTGGAACGTCGACGATGGTCCAAAGGGGGGAGGGGAATGGTTGCGCGACAGGAAGGGGAAGGTGGAGGCGGCGGGGCGTCGAGGTGGAGCCGGCGAGGTGGAGGCCTGGAGGGGGAAGGGATGGTGGAGGTGGAACGTCGACGATGGTCCGAAGGGGGAAGGGGAAGGGCTGCGCGACGATGGTGAACAAGTGAAGGGGGAATTGGGAGGAGGAGGGCCGAGTCGGCTCTGCTTAGGGTTAGTGACTCAACAGTGGGAAGCGGCGTCGTTTATGGTGAAGGGGGAAGGGGGTTGGTTAGCCGGTTAACGGCCGGTTTCCGACCCCGGTTAGTCGGCTAACCGGACCCATGCAATTCCCCACCGACCACCGACCGCTACCTTTAGTAACAGTTTTTCGGTTAGTCGAAAACCGGTCGGTTCGGTTGAAACCGTCCGGTTAACTGCTAACCGAAAACCGTTCCGCCAGCCCTACCAGTAGGTAACTCAAAGGCTACCCAAGAGAACTTACAACCTACCCAAACCCACCTTTGACCTAAATTCCGCTCGTAAATTAGACAGTTTCACACAAACTAGAGTGGCCGAATTGTGAATATCTAGCAGTTGAATTCCACGAATCCAATTCCTTCACAAATCAATATTATCTCTACGATGCTAGGGGCCGCTCTGGAAGACCCGCATTGACACAAGTATATTACCCCACCAAGAGAAGCGAAATTCGCCTTCTCTACCCCAAATTCAATTATGCCAGTAGCGAAGTGATGACAGAGATGCTGGCATTGGCAATGAGATAATTTTCCCTACAAGAATATACTCAAGCTCAAAGAACTTCAAGTGACTACCAGGATCGATACCAAACAAAATCGACCAACGGCTACCTCCACTGAATGGCGCCCGACGGGACTCTGTTAGCGGCGGCTACCATCGGAGCTGGAGATCGCGATGACAACTGTTATTAATAGCATTAAAAAAAACAATATATTTTTAATTTTTATCAAATGAAATGTTTTCCCTTAACCAAAACAATCAGAGTGACTCCAGAGATGTTGAGATTTTTATAGGCAAGGATATTTAGTAGAAAAATAAAAATTAGAATTAATGGAATAGGAGGAAGAAAATCGGAAAAATCAAGATAAAAAATATCTTTGATTATAATTTTTTTTTTTTTGTATATCTAGATTTTAGAGATTTGAAATTTCGAACAGAGAATTCATGATTCAAATCATTTTCTCCAAACTAAAGAAAACACGTGAGAAAAAACTAAAGCAATTACTTTTATTATTCGATAATAGTTCCAGACATACTCGGTATAGAAAGTAAAACATACATGAAATGACGAGGATCGCATAGAGCAAACTTGATGGCTTTTTTTTCTTCTTCTTCCCCTTTTTCATATCTCAGACTCTAACATAAACCTTATTGCAACAGAGATAACCAAAATACATGTATTAGATATCAGCAGGCCACATCCCTCCCCATCGAATGATCGGTATAGTAGCTAGTGTTTGATTCACTCCAGCTTATGGTGATGGTGGTGGTGGTGGAAGTAAAACCAAAACTGAGGCTGGACATTATTAGTCTTTGAAGGGATGAGTGCAGGGCGACTGGCAGCGGCAGCCATGAGAATGGAGGCCACAAGCAGAAGCCATATGAATGCAATCAACAACAGAGTTTGTGTCTTCGCCATTGCTGTTCAGATATTGATCTCTATTGATTGCCTCCCCTAACTCAAACTGTAAGGAACTACAGCCTCCTGGTTTGTATACTTGGGATGTGGCGAGATTCAATGGACTCAGCTATATCTCTTATTTATAGGTTGTTTGGAATGTTCTTGTTTGGACGCTAAATAGAATCCGTAACTAATAAATAATTAACAGGAGTACATACGGTTCCCACCTATGTGTGCCGTTCTTTGGATAGATTAATGTAGTGAAGGGGCAGTGACGGCGAAATTGTAGTCAATAGATGGACGGAAAACTTTACCACCTCCAATTTCCTACAAACTGGAAACCACTTTTTATGTTGGTAAAATGACTTTTTTTTTTTTTTTGGAAATCCGACTAGTATATATATATTACAAGTTACAACAAAAGCCCGTGTCGTGTTTTCATATTCTGAAAATATTGTAAAATACTCTTAGTGTCTACAGTACTCAGCAAATCTCTTTCAATACATCCTACAAGACAACCATTCACCAACTGATCGTCTAGCGCAAAACAATAACCATTTGTTCTTTCATTGATATATCATGAGTCTCATCAACCAATATGCAGAAAAATCATTCACAATCTCTGCAATGATTTTCTTAGTCGTTTTACAAGTCATGACATGAATAAGATCTTTTTGAATCTTTGGAGAGGTAAGTTGGAGATTGAAGCTTGAAGTAAGCAGAATCATGTTTGTGAAACTGTTGAATAAAGGAGACATGTTTAATTTTAGGGTTTTGTTGTTAAATTTGGCATCAAATTCTTACTTTTACAATTATATATGTATCTTAAATTGCAAGAATAAATGAGTTGTGGTCTAATGAAAAAGAAGTTAACAAATAACTAGGGTGTTAGAAGTTCAAATCTTTTTTTCCTATTTTCTAGACTAAAACTACTATAGGGGTTCGATAATCCCCCCCCCCCCCCCCACACACACACACAAGAATTTTAGGGGTGTCCCGTGACACCCTCAAACCTCCCTAGGTCCACCCCTAGCACCAACTCTTCGGTTTATTTCTTCCGCAGTGATCCAAACTAAGTATGTCCTTTGTCACTCTAATATAAAATTTTATCACCAATTATCATAGGGTATTAGAGTCATAAGATTTTGTATCACCCGATATGATCTCTTATTTTCTTGATAAACAAGTTAAATAGTACTATATAATTCAAAGGGTGGTAAATAATTAGTCGGTTATCGGTTTTAACCGATAATTGAACTAACAACAACGATTAATAGTTGATGCATAATGGCAAATTTCTTAGTGGTTGGATTTTGGTTAACTGTATTTTGCTTAATTAGTGGTTAACTGCTAACCGATTAATCGGTTAGTGATTAACCGATAAGAATATTGATAAAACCACTATTATTTTTTCTCTTTATTTTTTCTAGACTCAAACTACTACTAGGGATCCAGTAATCCCCCCCCCCCCCCCCCCCCCCCCCCCCCCCGAATTTTAGGGGTGCCCTGGCACCAACTCTTCGATATATTTCTTCTGGAGAGGTCTAAACTAAGTTTGTTCCTTGTAGGGATGGCAAAAATATCCATAACCGTGGATATCCACCTGAATCCGACCTAATCGGGTAGGGTAAAACTCGAACCCGAAGCATTTTTCGTGGGTACCGGTAAAACCCGAACCCGAATGTTGCGGGTAATGGGTGGGCATGGTTATCTCACTATCCAACCCGAACCCGCCCGAATATACACATGCATATGTATTTTGTCTAGAAATAATCATTATTTCTCTCTAGAATATTTTATATTTAGCATATAAATATAATATTTTCATGAAATTATGTTGTTTTAATTAATTTTCGTCATTCTAGTGAATCATTGTCGTACTTTTCCTCTTACGTAATGTGAGTATACGTGTGAATGTTAACATATTGGTTGGAATTATAAGGAGAAATTATTACCCATGGATAACCGTGGATACCCGAAACCCGAACGGGTATGGGCATGGTTTTGATTTTCTACCCGTTTCTCGTATGGGTACGGGTATGAGTAAAACCCGAACTACATTGGGTAGGGTAACGGATATGCACTATCCACCCCCGACCCGACCCATTGCCATCCCTAGTTCCTTGTCACCCTATATACTATATATAAAATTTTATCACCAATTATCATAGGGTATTAGAGTCATAAGATTTTGTATCACCCGATATGTTGTCTTATTATCTTGATAAACGAGTTAAATAGTACTATATAATCCTAGGAGTGGTAAATAGTTAGTCGTTTACCGATTTTAACCGATAATTGAACTAATAACATCGATTAATAGTTGATCGATAACCGCTAATTTCTTAGTGGTTCAATTTTGATTAGCTATATTTTGCTTAGTGGTTAACTGCTAGATGACTAATCACTTAGTGATTAACTGATAAGAAGTGGTTCATCTAATTTCATGTCCAACCTTTAAAAATCATTCGATCCATGCTAAACTATACAAGCAAATGGACCAAACCGCTATTATAACTGATACAGTTGTTTTTCTGATGCGGCCGTTGATCCAGTTCTTATAACAAGGGGTATAAGTAAGCCTCCCAGTGCCCATATATAGTTCACCATCGTTAGGGTGTGCAATGGGTTGGTCCGTACCAGACCACAACGGACCAAACCAACATTTGGATCAGACCATTTATTTTTTGTCGAAGCGACTAAACTGTGGTTCGATCTGTAATCCCAATATATTTTATAAATACCAAAGAATTGTGGACCGAATTCACCTTTGGATTGGAGCAAATAGAACGAACTGAATTATTGGTCTGCTTCTTAATCCATAAATATCTTTCAGGGCCAATTTTCATAGATTTGGTTCGATCTGGACCGACCCAGAGTGTTGTACTCCCCTAGCCATGGTGTAATGTCAATTATTTGCCACGCTAACTAAACGCCAGACGAAGTATTTTATGGCAACTCACAAGTTTATTTAGAATTTGATTGCGGAAGAACTTGTTCCTCCATGCGCTTATGTCCTATCGACTGTCCTATCGTATGCGTTAGAGTTCGCGCCTGCTTTGATTACTTCATTCCGACTTCCAAGAGTCAGCCATCTCGGGATTGTTAATTCAACTTTTGTTTTTTCAATCCCTACAACGGCCAGAACTATGATTCGCTGAAAGCTCTTAAAAAAAAAATTGCCACACTGGTTTATACAGCTGTTTTGGTTTGACAAGTGAAATGGTATAATCAATCGTATAATTGGTTTGTGTTGGTTCGTGTCGGTTCAATAAAATATGTATAATATAAAACTTGTTAAAATTCAATGAATATAATCATATATATAAAACATATTTGAGTATAATTTACTTACAATCTAACAAATAACATTTTGTACAAATTCATTTATGATACAAATTCAAATTCAGTTGTAACTATATCTTTTTGTAAAAATTCATTTATGATACAAACTAAATTTGTACATTTATGTTATGATAAATTCATGTAGAGTACTAACAGAATTTGTACCTTTCTATTATGGTACAAACTAAACTTGTACTAACAGAACTTACTAACAGAATTTGCACAAGTTCAAAGAAATTATTGCAAAGTAAAAAAGTAGAAGGACTAATTCTGAAAATTTTAAAAACATAATATTCCAAAAATATTTTATCAATTTTAACGGAATGCACTTAACATTAAAATTAATTGGTACTAGGTGCACTTATAAGAAAGTTTTGTGGCATTTGGTGCCCTAATTTACTCAAGATAAAGTGACATACTCACACTAATTCAAGAACTTAAATGGCATCATAAATACTCTACCCTTACGAGGAACCACCCACATCATAATTGGTGGGTCAATTGCAAATGGATTTGGTCGGATTTTTGCGTTCAATCATCCAATGTTCACCCTTATATATCCCAGTTTTTTCTTCCTTCCAGATCAGTCAATGTAACCAAAAGTATGATTAATTAGAAGAGATTAAAATGTAAAACATGAATACAGAGCGGAAAATTGCTAGAATTTTCTAAGTACACTTATGTAAACTATGAATCAATGGACTTTAAAACAAGTAAATAGTACCTTTATCCCATATTCAAAAGGTCTCTACTCATAGATATAAACTAATTTGAGAAGATTTTAATGTACAGCATGCGGTGATGAGTGATTTGGCAGAATGGAAGAATGATGATCGCTTGCGTTATCGAGCTTTAAATTTATAGATCGATGCACACTCTTTATTAAATCCTAACTAAGCCAAGCATAATCTAGTTAGAGTTGTAGTAAAGTGGCTCGATCGTATTCCAAGGGAACCCTAAACTTACTATTACTTCGCTCCG